AGGTTTATTCTAAAAATGTCATTATTCTACCTAAAATCAATCATTAAATCTCATGTAAGTAGTAGTTGTTGTATACATTACTATTTAATTTTATAAATCTTTCATGTATATAAATTTGGAGTTATCAAATGGTTGAATTATACATGTAAAATGTGGTAAACATTATTAATTTTAGTTTGTCATTGATTTTAGTTTGTTTTTAGGTACAACTCAACTGAATAACTAGTCATGGAAAATGAAGGTACCTCTCAAACAAATGTCCACCTATCTCACAAGAAAGTACACATCAACCAATTCCAAATATAAGTGGTAATCTATCAGTTGAAGCTCCTCCTCCCATACCAAATGATAATATGGAGGTTGATAGCTAAACAACCGAAAATCGTCGATCCAGACTTAAAAGTATTGCACGAGATCATTTTACATAGGTCAAAGTTGGTGAAAAAGTTAAGGCCAAGTGTAATTATTGCTCAAAGTTGCTTAATGGTTCATCAAATGATGGGACAACACATTTAAAAGGACATATAGATTATTGTTCTAAAAAGAAGCTTTTGAAACCATCTGATAAAGGACAAACATTTCTTACGCCTAAAATCATGCAAGGTAAACAAGAGTTGAGTACTGAAATTTATGATGCAGAAATTACTAAGAAAGAGTTTGCACATGCAATTATTTTGCATGAATATCCGCTTTCAATGAAATCCGTGTAACTAAGTACACTTGTTTACCAACAAGTTTACAATGAAAATTTGCAAAAGAGATTTATGAAAAATTAAAATTGTTTAATTTTACCACTGAAGTATTTTCTAGAACAAACTATCCAACTGCCAATGAATACTTTTCTAAGATTTTCCAGATTAAATTTGCATTACTTGACTGGATTGAATCCTCTGATGAATTGGTAAAAAGAAGGGCAGAAAACATGTTGGTAAAGTTTGAAAAATATTGGAGTGTGATTCATGAAATAATGGATGTTGCCGCTGTTTTAGATCCTAGATACAAAACTGATTTGCTTGAATATTACTATAGAGTCTTCTATGGGAATGATGTTGATTTTCAAGTTAAGCCAATCAGACAGTGAATCTCAAACGTTGGATGCTAATGTTGATATTGTTAGTAACGATGGTTTGGAAGACTATGATTTGTATGTCATACGAAAAAAAGAGCTAGAACTTCATCTGTTAAAATGGAGTTGGAGTTTATTTGGATGAGGAAGTTTTACTAAGAAGTCCAGATTTTGATATTTTATTGTGGTGGAAGTTGAATGGCATTAAGTATCCAACACTTCAAGCAATTGCAAGAGATGCATCAGTAATTCCTGTTTCTACTGTAGCTTCTGAATCTGCATTTAGTACAAGCGATCATATGGTAAGCCCTCATCGAAGTCGACTTCATTGGACCACTTTAGAAGTTTTGATGTGTGCAAGAAGTTGGTTATGGAGTGCTGAGAATACTGGTAAGATATTTTTTTGTTTTTATTTTCTATTTTTACTTGTCAAGACTATCATTAACTATATTTTACTATATTGATAGGTAATTTGAAATCTAAAGTGGGAAATGAAAATGCTATTTTACTCTCGGAAACGGAGTCTGATGATGAAGGTATTATTCATACTATTTGTATTTTTGTGTGCACAATGTGTGGTTGGCCCACTTTTGTGATTAGTAGTTAACTTAAACAAATTATGCTTTTCTATTATAAAAATAGAAAGCACCCTATTTTTCTGAAGTATGATAAATGGTAATGTTGACATGTAAATGTAAAGTATTCTTGTTTGTGATTATTAGTTTTATTAAAAATAATCCATTCTCCATCATCGTTCTACTACTGCAATTCTTTGTTTTTGAACACTAATGTAATTCTTTGTTTTTGTTAGACCTCACATTAAGAGACACTATAATAGGTGAGGTCTAGAATATTAAAAATATCTTTCATCAGTTGGTTGTCGTGGTGTTTTATAATTTAGTAAGTTCAATTTTTAGCAAGTAACATATTATATATATATATATATATATATATATATATATATATATATATATATATATATATATATATATATATATATATATATATATATATATATATATATATATATATATATATATATATATATATATATATATATATATATATATATATATATATATATATATATATATATATATATATATATATATTAGTTTGTATTAATATGTATGGATTAATACATATATGTTTGGTACCAGTTTCTTGTTTTTATAATTTTGTTCACTTTCTAGCAAGTACCATATTATATATATACTAGTTTGATAAGTGCATGCAAATGAACTTTTTATTTAATAGATTTCATGTACATCACCTCACTTGTGCTTGTTTTTATGTTTTAATTTTTACTTTTCAATACATATGAGTTGTTGATCGATGGTGCTACTTCTATTTCCAACTCTCGCCTCGAAGATGAAGATTATTAGAAAATTTGTGGTTTATTTGGAACCTTTTTTGTTACGATGATTTAGTATCTTTTGTTCCATGTTGTTAAATTGGTTCTTTTGTTGATGGTAGTATTTTACTTTTGTATTTGTACTTTGCAAAAAATTGTTGGTTGTTGTGAGTAATTTGTACTTTGATATATTGAAAGATTACACTCTTTTAATGAATCACAACCAATCATATTTGTGTAACTTTAAAAATATTATGATTAGAGTCAAATGTTTGGATTTAAGGGTTATGATTGAAAAAATATTTGTAATGGTGTTTAAATATTAAACCTTACGACTATTTACTCAAATTAAGGTTGGTTTTTGTATTTTTGATGTGTTTATTCATGTTTTCTAGATGATTTGTAAAATAAAAAAAATATGTAATTTTTTTCTTTGAAAAAAGCAATTTTTTTGGGTGGGGGCGGGGTATTCGTTCTTTATTGGGGACGGGTCTGGAGGTTAAATTTCTACATAAAAGCGGGGGCGATGGTGGGGCTAGCTAAACACGCCACCGCCCCGCCCCGTTGCCATGCCTAGTAATTATCCTAAATCATCCAAGGAGGGCCTTTGAGAAGAGCAATCTCTTGATCTTCCTGATTGGTGAAAGTGACCAGAAAAACTCTTGACCAAGATCGATAATGTTAAGAAGCCCTCTTTTAGCCCACTTATTTTGAGATAGAGAAAGTTGACTGTTTAGATTTATTAAATAATTAATGTATTTGATCCATGATTCATTTCAGATATATTAACTATTCAATAATTTTTTTAAAAAAAATTCTCTTATAAATAAAATCAAGAGATAGTAGTACGAATCTGTTGGAAGAAACGAGTTTAAATTTCGTTTGAAGAGTTTTAATTTCACTCAAATTCTCAATTATCCAAGTCCTTATAAAATCCAATAAAGAGACCATATTAGTCACGTATATTATAAAAAAAAAATCAATGTTTTTGCTTTTTAAGAAACTAACCATTATTTTTATATAAATAAAATATATTCTTACTCGTCATTGTGTTGTTATGGACGGGCAAATGCCCAATGGACCAACAAAAAAATCCGGAGGCAATAAAAGAATGAGATAATAGAAATTCTCAATGAGATTTATATTGTGTATGAGGGAGGACCTAAGCTACGTAAATACTTTTGATAGACTCACATATGTGATTGTGGAACTTAGATCAGTTCCTATGAAATTTTTAGACAAAATTTATAAACCTTTCACTAAATAAGGATACACGTGCGGGGCTATTAAAACACGAGCTATTAGAATACACTTTAATAAAAGATTGTGGGCAAATTTGATATCTGAGATAAAGTTCAACACAATTGTTACTTTTGTTGAATTGAAATTATATGTGCTACACAAAGGTTCAAGTCGTAAACACCTTTGTTTATGCACAATCTTATAAACGTTTGACATTACTTCTGAAACACTTTTTTAAATTCAAGTGGAAAGATTGTTGGAACATTATGTCAAATATTCAAATATAGGAAGATGAATTTGAAAAAATTCCTTAAGTCCCACATTGTGTGTTAGTTGAAAAAACTACTTAGTCTCACATTGTTTACGTGAGATATATGAGAATTCCTTTTGTTGTGTTTTTCCTTCCTCACTCTCATACTCCGCGTTTTTCGAATTGTCAAAACACCAACTTCTCCCCTTTTCTTTCTATTCTTGAATTTTTCAAGTATTTTCTTGAAATGTCTTTAAAGAATTATGTTAATTTCTCCTCATTTGAGTTGAGAAATTATTAAATATAATTTTTTGATTTCTCTTTAGAGAATTATTTGAATTTTTTTTTGTTTGAGAAATCATTTTTAGTGATTAAATGACCATTATTGAATTCTCTTTGAAGAATTATTTAAATTTTTTTTTGTTTGAGAAATTATTACAATGGGTTGTTATATCAGATATTACGAGTAACATTTATACCCTATTTGAATTGTCTTCATATCATCACGAGTGTATTTCTAGACCGATTATCTACCGTATAAATAGTAATCGTACAATATAGAATTAGACTGTTTTATCCTTAAAAAAACGCAATAGTTCAATTGTTTTAAATCACACCACAAACACTCTTGATACATACTCCTTCCATTCTTTTTAATAAACAATTTTTACTTTTTAGATTTATTAAATAATTGATACATCTAATTTATATATAATTCAAATACATCATTTATTTATTCAATAAATTTAAAAAATAAAATTTGTTTATAAAAGAAAATGAAGGGTGTACACATACAATAAAATATAAACAAAAACGGTATCTAAAAATTTGATTTATTTAATGTTAATTTTTACACTAACTTTTCGAATACAATTTTCTGGATAGAGTATTTAATTAACTTTAGCCATGTTCTCTGCAAAACCAAAGCGCCAATGCGGTTTCAGTGGATTAGCTTGACGGAAATATTTCAACTTTCCTGTCATATTTTGCATATAATTTTGAATACAATACAACACCATACTTGTCCTAAAATTTCCATATGCTGAAGGGCTGTGATGCAAAACATGGCAATGTCTACTCTTCAATTGTTAGTCCGTGGAAGCTGCTTCAAGAGATTTATTTTTTCGAGCATTTTTAGAGCGTCTTGGAAGCTGCTTCAGCAACTTGATTAACTCATATGTTCTGATACTTTGACCAGAGTAGAGGCAAATGTCGAGTGGAGTTAAACCATCCTGAGACAAACAAAAGCGAAATCGCCACTTAGGCTGCTGCTACACAAGTGTTTGTGCATCAGTGTCATGTTTGGTGTCTGTGTCAGTGTCATGTCTAGTATCAGTATCATGTCTGATGTTTGTGTCAGTGTCATGTCTAGTATCAGTATCATGTCTGATGTTTGTGTAAGTGTCTGTATCAAAACACAATTACCTTGTTTTTTAATGTCTCATCAGCACCTTTAATCAGCAGAAGCTTTACTACATCATTTCTCTGAGTTTGAACAGCAAGATGTAATGGTGTCCAGCCATCCTAAGACAGAAAATGAATTATGTTCTCAAACAGTGCTCCACAGAAGAATAAAAGGTAGGATAAGCTGAGTATTGGAACAATTAACCATACATTGTCCTGAAGATTTATATCCACATTATACAACAAGAGCACTTTAATTGTTGGGACAGAAGCTGTTTGTACAGCATAGTGCATCAAGGTGGCCCCATCCTGTTTCAAGCACAAACAACAAAGCAGATGCATAAAATTTCGGCGACACCAATAAGTAACTCCGGCTATAACAACTATATGCTATTAGATTAAGGTCGTGTATGGATTGACCTATTTAGACTTATCTACTGACAGAAACACTCATGAGACTATTTGGAAGAGTTTATGGAAAGAGCTTATGACATGTCTGTAAGTTGTTTTCAGCGTATTTTCATAAACTCCAGATAGTTTATATGAAAGCATTTTACTTTATTTATCTTTGGTTATAAAAATAACTCATACATAGCCCCTATATGATAAGTGTTTATGCTAGAGCATAATTAAACAGTCTATCCAAAGAGTTTATGATAACGGCGATGAGTTTTTAGTAGGGACGTGAAAAGCACAAAGTATAAACTGAAGAAGAAAATCAACAAATAAAGGCTCACATGTGCAACTTACGACAGCACAGCTCACAATTAAGTAATTTATTACTCACATTATCTTGTACAAAGGGATTGGCCGAGTTTAGCAGGAGAAGATTAGTTATGGCACGCTTTCTTCCAACTATCGATTTGGAAAGAGCAGTCAAACCATCCTAAAAGTATATAACAAATCATAATAGTTTGAATAGAGGATTCCACACATCTTAATCTTCTGTATAAAAGTTAATATTCACGTACCTTATCCATAGCATTAATATCAACATCGTGCTTCAACAAAGTTTGTAAGAGGAAAGATTCGGCGCTCGCAGCAAAAGTATGCAGAGGAAGCCATTTATCCTATAAATAACAAGTATTAACCATTGAAAAAATAAATATAGAGATTATTCACCAAAGGCAACAATGTTTCTTAGTCCCAAACATGAATATCAATTCGAGATTCAAACTGTGAATCGAAAAACCTATTTTCCAAGTCATGAATCAAATCTTATAATGAGTCGCAGATACATTGTCAACTGACATATGTCTTGCATGCATCGTAAGATACTGATAACCATGATCCAAGATATCAGCCCAATAAGACAGACAACACCAAAAACTAACACGACTACTCAACAAATGAAGGAAAGCATGAAAGTTCTTATTTTCGGATAAAGTAAGAATACTTACCGAAGTAGCAACTGACAAGTCTGGCTTAATCTTATTCAACAAAGCCTTCTCCTCCTTTGTAAACAACTTAAGACGACCTATTCACGCAAGCACAAGAGAACGAAAATGAAAAACCCAACACTTAAAAACCATATATTTGCAAAACAATGAGAAACAACAGTGATCAAGATAAAGATTTTCCTGAATTCAACAGTCACTAAATAAAATGACACACTTCATCACAATTGAATTACTCTGTCTGTATCATCATCAATGAAGTACCATACGGTGCGAAGTAGCACTAAATTAAGCGCCATTTCGAATAAACTTCATCAATCACAATCATAGTCTATGAAGCACCGACACAGACAGAGACACGATACTAAATATGACACTTGACACAGTGTCAGACAAAAACACAAACACATAGACAGTATATTCAATATGAAGTTAACTCCCAAACATGTATATTCAATATGAAGCATCAAGTAATAGTCTTCAACAACATCCACACAAAATCAAAACCAAAACCAAAAAGAAAAGGTAGATACTAGATACGAATTACCTTGAGTTTTCTTAAGAGCAAGGTCATAACTTTGACTATTCAAAAACTCATTGACATCCTCAAAACCTCTCCCATAAACAGCCCACCTAGGATTCTTAGGCTTAACACGTTCTTCACCAAACCCATCATTCAATTCATCTTCCAACTCTTCCTCTCTGTCGGCAAAACTAAAACTTGGAGGCATATCAAGAACCACAGGTTTCAACTTAGCCAACATAGCATCTCTATAAGCCTTATAATCATCCAAATTCATATTCCTCAAAGGAACCAACCCTCCTTTCTTCTTCAAAACCTTACTATTGAACTCAATTTCCTGAGCTATCTTACGTCTCTCTTTCTTCGTTATGTTCACCTCTGCTTGAACATCTCTCCACTTGTCAGGAACCAGATTCTCAGACTTAATTACCGCCGTTTTCTTCTTCTTTTTCTTTGAACTGGGTTTTGGTTTTTTGCTGTCTACGAGGTTGTCGGAAGGAATAGGAAAAATGGGGTCTTCGAAAATGCCTTCCTCGAAGACGAGACAATCTCCGATTACATGTTCTTCGTCGTTTTCGTTTTGGTAGGATGAGGAGAGAGAATTGTGGAGGTTCCAGTTTGTGGGGGGTTTGAAAGATTGAAACTTGCGGGGTGTGGCAGAAGAAGGGGAGAATGGGAAGGGAGAGAAGAAGAGTGTGTTGGATTGAGGATTATGAACAAGGGTGGAGAAATTGAACATTGTTGTTGTTGATGTTGCTCTTGCAATTGCTAACATTCAATCAATGGTAACACAAAACTTACTTGTTTATTGAAAATGAATAGGTTTTTTAAACATATTAGTTCAAACATAATCCTAAAAAAATAGGTTTTTTAATTATTAAAAATCAGTATAAACACGAATTAAAACTATTAAAGAAATTGGTTTTATATTATATTTTGTCCTATTTTAAAAATATATTTTAGGATTATGTTTGAACTAGTTGAATATTTGTGGGATTTATTTGGTTGATGATCTATTGAAAGTTGTGATTTCTCATGGTCAAATCTAACGTCTTCAAATGTAAAATTATACTATAGATTAAAGACATTCACATAATCATAAATATAGACTTAATAATATGGTTTATGCATGATGTATTGATCCAGTATTTTCAAACAAAAGGGAAATATAATTATGATGTGAAATTGATGAGAAAATAATAAGAAAATTGTATTAATATTATCGCATTCCATAGGTAAATAAGTTTGTAATTAAAATGAGTGAATGACATTCTTGAAACTACTTTAATAGTATTACGACTCCAATGATTTTTAACATAAAAAATGTGATTCTAATGTAAATGTGAAAGTATTATTATATAAAGAAAACAATTGTATAAACACCTATAAAGGAGTATAATCAATTGAAAAAATATTTCATATTTTTGACTTGATATTCTCTTGTACGTATCTATTCGTTGAATAAGGTCGGTCTTAGATCAGGGCAACCAGACCCACAAGGCCACAACCCAAAGTCTAAGAAATAGGATCTTAAAATTTTGGATGATAACCTTTGTAAATTAATGACTTAATTAGTGTCGAAGTTTTTTAACTTAATTTCAGATTTTAATTTAGTTTTTTATTTAATAAATCTTACGGATTAGTCCCTTAAAATTGGTTATGTAGACAACTTAATCATTTATGTTAAATTGTTAGAAAAAGGTTCATTGTTGGTGGTGATGTGGCATAATAACAAGGATTTACTTGAATAAGTAACTAAACAAAGGCTTATATTATCCTTCTAAGCTTTATTTTCTCTTTCATGTGTTTTATGTAAGAAACTAGAGTTACTATTCATCTTCTTTTTTAGCCCTTCTTCTTAGAAATTTCTTTAACATTCCTCTTCATCCAAATCATCAGCTTCAAAATTTCTACTAAAATGTCAACAAATTCCAACACCTATTCAAAACGAAACAACCAAAGTTGTAGGTCATTTGTATCTATGGTCATAAGAAACAAGAGGATGGATTTTCGGTGCCAAGAAGAGTGTGTTATTCATACTGTTATAGATTCGAACGGTGTGAATGTTGGGAAAAATTTTTGGGGTTTTAGAAATTACAGAAATCAAATGGAGAAGGGATGCAATTTTTTCAAGTGGTTAGGTGATGAAGTTGTTGATGAAATGAATTTGAAGATTGAGAGGCAAAGGAATAAATTTTTCAAGTTGAAGAATGAGGTTATTCGCACAAGAGGGATGTTGAAAATTGCAATAATGTTTGGCATTTTTAGTTTAGGATTGAATGTAATGTTTTTAACAATGTATTTCAAATAGGTCTTGTTTATTGAATGTGTTGGTTGTAACACGTGTTCATTCTGATATAATTTCTCTGTTGGTTTGATGAAATTGGTTGACAATATATGTTATGCTCTGTTTTATCATCTCTGCTATAACAAAGTTATTTTTTTAGTTCTGTGTTATCATATATGTTATGTAATATTTACAGAACAAAAATCATAAAGAAACAAGATATTAAGTAAGGGACTATAAAGGTTAAGTTTGATAGATAAGAGACTAAAATGAAATCAATTTGATAAATAAAGGGACTAAATTGAAATCTATGTTATAAAGGGACTAATTTGAAATAGTCAGGTTATATGTTATTTCTCAGACCAGGTTTTGATACAAATCTAAACCACGCATAATATCATGACGGTAATATAATTCTAACAAAAGCTCGTTTCATTAACATAATCAAAAGTAAGTTTGTTGTTACATTGAACCATATTAGCATAAAAGCATAAAATGCTGCCGTTGAACCATAATTGTTTGTGTTTAGAGACACTAATACAAAAATCATAAATTACATAGTCAATAATACAAAAATTATAACAGACATAAAATCATAAATCAGCTGGTTCAAGCTTAATTGATACAAGTTGACTTGGTGCACCCTGAGTTGGTCCAGATTGACTTGGTTCAGGAAAACTTGGTGCATGATGACTTGGTTTAGGCTAACCTGGTTCAGGCTAACTTGGTGGAGGCTGAGTTGTTTGACTTGGTGCAGGAAGTTTGGAAGTAGCTTTGTTGTTCCCAATCATGTGGCACTTATTGTACTTGATTCCAAATTTAGCCATCTTTAGTTATGTCTCATCTCTCAAATTTTCTATTGCATCCCTGGTCCTCATCTTCTTTGGCCATCATGGCTGTCTTTTGATTAGTGGTGGTTGTAAGTCAACGTGCTCTATTTTCTGCCACAAAGTTTCACCTTTCACTGGGTATATAACAGGTGCATAACAGGCCCCATATCATGTTCTTTTGTAGCAACCAGGAGCAAAATTTTCAATATCTAATTGGTGAGCTTTCATGCAGGATATTTCAAAATTTTCATCTCCTACAAGAGCACTCCTTTTTGGACATGCTCACAGTATACTTTTCTGTATTATATGAGATATGCTTAATCTCATAATCGTATTCTCCTGCACATATGTGTAAAACAGAACAATATCAACAATCATTACCTCACTATCCAATTATAAAACATAAAATAAAGTCAGCAATCATTACCTTACTATACAATTGTTGGGTTTTTTTTCTGATTCCTTTACTATCATTCTCTTGATGTTTGGTAGAATATCACCTTCATATTTGTCAATCTTTTGCCTCTTTGACTCCCATGCAGATATTGTCGAAAGAAGAAGGAAAAATTAGGTCTTTGAAAATGCCTTCCTTGAAGACCAGACAATCTCTTATTACATGTTCTTCGTAGTTGTCGTTTTGGCAGGATAATGAAAGAGAATCGTGGAGGTTTCAGTTTGTGGGGTTTGAGAGATTGAAATTTGTAGGGTGTGGCAGAATAAAATGAGAATAGGAAGGGAGATAAGAAGAGTGTGTTTGATTGATGATTATGCACAAGGGTGGAGAAATTGAACATTATTGTTGTTGATGTTGCTTTTGCTTTTGTGATTTCAATCTTTCAATCCTTAATAACCCAAAACTTCTTCTATTGAAAATATTTTTTTTTCCTCTTCTAGTTCTTATAAAGAATAGGATTTTTTAATTATAAAAATAATCATCAAAATGAATTGAAATTATTTTTTAAAATAACCCCTTTAATTTTTATTTATAAACTAATGAAATATACCCTGAAAGCCTTTAAAAGAGATGGTAAGATATTTCCTATTAACTAGAGAGTTCAGAATTCAAATGAAGTCCTAGACATACAACAATTGACGTTGCGGGAAAAATTGAGATTAAGTTGTTGGTTAACTTAATTTGAAAAGAAAGAGTCTTCATATAACTTTATTGTTTCCAAAGGAAAAAGGAAAAAGGTCGAACAAAACCAACAAAAGTAAAACAAAAGAGAAAATATGGATACGAGGGTTGGTTATGCAAGGGGAAGGTATTAGCACCCCTTACACTTATGGTACTCCATAGGAACCACTTGCAAATATGTGTTTATAAAAAATTTGGATTGTTTGTTGACTGATTTTAAGTGAAAAGGCATATTGTCGTATTTAAGTGGAAAACTTAACTTACTACCCACAAGTATTAGGAAATGAGCATTTGCATCATCTTGATATGGAGAACTTTTACTTGGACTTTCTCACAAGCACGTCTCAACATTCAAGTGGAAAATGTCAATCATTTATCAACATATTGTAGAAGTATAGTGGTTTGTATCACTACATAATAGACTAATATCCAATCTTTCGGGAAAAAAAATGTTTTTATAGAAAAGTTCACAAAGGCACAAAAAGAAGTTTGATAAGGTTTGTCTTTTTTAGAGGTTTTGAAAAGAGTTTGAATATGCTTAAGTGTTTTAATATTTATTAAGAAAAAAACTTCTGGATCACTTGACAAAGTCAAAGTTTATTAAGAAAAGAGGTGAAGTTTGAAAACAATAAGTTTTTTTTTTAAAATAGAGAGAATTTTTAAAAATTGAAGAAGTGGGAAGGAGATGATGAGACTATCCTAAAGCATAAAGTAAATGACATAAAATAAAATGTCTCATTTTAAGAAAGACCAAGAGAAATCCTTTGTGTGTGCAAGTGTACTAACCACAATAGGAAACAAGCATTCATTTCCCTTTGGATTGAGCCACAAGATGAACAAGCACATGAGCAGATGGATATCAACAGATCCAGATGAACAACAAAGTCGTAAAGTCACAAATAACATCTAGGTCTTGAATTGAAGATTAGAGGGTCCAGAGGAACCACTATGTCTCAAATGAATCACAAAGCCTCATATGACTCATAAAGCCTCATATGAACCACAAAGTCTCAGATAACACTCCAAGCAAAGGGAAATTACTAAGTCCTAAGGTCAAAAGTCCAAAATACTGCTTAAGTAAAGGATAGTAACACAAAGTCCAAAAGATCAGATTAAAGTTGTTTAGGGTTTTGGCCATTTTATAATGTTTTTGTTATGTTGAAATAAGAAAGCAACAAAAGGCATAAAGAAAAAAATTAAGAATAAAAGCAAGAATGTAAATAACATAAAAGTAAAGTCATTAAAGTAAATAACATAAATTTGTCTCCCTTCTCATTACGTTTGCTTTGTGGTTCCAACATTGGCTTGAAAGGTGCTTACTTTGTGGTCCCTCGACATTGAAACTGAGGTAGGTCCACATGTTCCTTTTTAGATTTTATTTTATTGAAGTTAGGGTTACTTGTAGTGTATTAAGTTGTTAGGGTTTGTATGCATACAATAACCATTTTGTGGGTCCACGTTTGACTGTCATTTTCCTCCCATTATGTATGGATGAATGTTTTTAAAGTAATATTTTACATGAAGGGATCTTTTGTAAAAGACCCAATGCTAAAGTATGAGGGTGAGAAAGTTTATGCTTTTAATGGTCAAGATAGTGAGCGTTGGTAATTTTTTGAGGCATGTGAATTAATTAAAGGAATGGATCCTGGGTTTGAATACAGTAATGTTAAAATGTGGTGGAAACATGGTGATGGTACTTTAGAAAATGATCTAAAACCATTTAGGGATGATGATGATGCATTTGAGTTAGTTGCATTTGTTCAAGAATGCAAAAGTGAGGTTGAAATATACACTGAGCCTAAACCAAGTATAGGGGATGCAACTTTTATGGAGAATGCAAGAAATAGAAACAATGCTAAAAATATGAATATGAGGTTTATTCATGTACTGATGAAGGTTCTAGTGATGAGTCTGTGAAGGATGCCAAATTGAAGGTAGTGAAGAAGAAAGGATGAAGGGTTATGATGAGGGTTTTGATGAGCAATTTGATGGTCAGCCCACAAACATACCAGATGCAGATGTTGTAGGCTCTAGTGAGGCAGTAAGACCAAGTTTTATTACACCAGAGATGGGAAAGGAACATGTAATTGAAGATGAGTATATTATTTATGAGTTTGATAGTGGTGTTGAAGACGACAGTGGTGATGATATGCCAAGAGTTGTTAGGTTTAATGAGGAAGATGGGATTACAAAGGAATATAAGCTCAAGGTGGGAATGGAGTTTTCATCACTGAGGCAGTTCAAGAGTGCTATTTTGGAACATAATGTATTGAATGGGAGGGATATCATATTTGAAAAAAATGATGCAGTGAGATGTAGGGTGGTTTGCAAGGAAAAATCACAATGCAATTACATTGTACTGTGCAGTAAAGTATTAACATCAACAACCTTTAGAATTAAGACCTTGTATGCTAAACATAAGTGTGGAAGATATTTTTTAACAAGAGTGTCAAAGCTGACTGGGTTGCAAAAGTGATAGTTGATAGGATGAAGAACAATAACAAAATGAAGTTGAATGATGTAATTGCAGATGTTAGGGTGAGGTATACAACTGAAATCCCTGGTTGTAGGGCATTTAAGGTAAGACAGATTTCTTAAAGGATAGTGGAGGGAGACTCTAGTAAATAATATAGTTTGTTATCGTCATATGGGGCTGAATTGAGGAGGGTTTCACAAGGAAATACTTTCAACCTGAACATTCAATCTCCAGTTTCAAATTTATTACCAAGGTTTGAAAGGTGTTACATGTACTTTGATGGAACAAATAAAGCTTTGAAATTGGCTTGTAGGCCATTTATTAGACTAGATGGATGTCATCTAAAACACAAGTATGGTGGGATATTATTAATAGTTGTGGAAAGAGACCGTAATGACCAGTATTTACCTATTGCATTTGGAGTGGTAGAAACTAAGTCAAAGGACACTTGGAGTTGGTTTATACAGTTACTTCTAAAAGACATTGGTTAAAAAAGGTGGTGTTTCATATCTAACCAACAAAAGGCAAGTACACTTACTCTTCTGTTTGGTTTTTTACATGTTTGTTGTTTTCATTGCTTAAACTATTTTTTATACTGTTTTACTGTTTTTCTCAGGGTCTTGCACAGGTGTTTGAGAAGCAATACCCAACTTTTGAACATAGATTCTGTGTTAGACATCTGTATGCTAATTTTAAAAAGAGGTTTGGAGGTAGTACCCTCTTTAGGAATCTCATGATGGCTGCAGCAAAGGCAACATATCTTGAGGCTCATGAACAATACATGTAGAAAATCAAGGAAATCAACAATGATGCTTATGAATGGTTGGAGGCAAAATATATCAGTTGTTTGTCAAATTATGATGCCAAAATTGAGGCAAAGTATGTCAATGTTTTAGGGGACGTAATGCCAAAATTGAGGAAAAAATTTTAGGGGACATAATACCAAATACGTTCTTGCATATTCCATCGCACTATCAAATTGCGGATATATTCACCTAAGATCTTCCCCTAATACTCTTTCAAAATTAAATTGCGGATATATTCACCTAAGATCTTCCCCTAATACTCTTTCAAAATTTCCAAGACTGTTTAAGTATACGCCTACCTCCCGTTTCAACTGTGGGGATGTGACAGAACATGACAGCGCACATGTTTATATTTGAAACAAATATTGTACACTGTCAAAAATTATTTACATTGATTAGGCATAATTAGTTCCCTATCATGCTATTGTAATTCTTGTATATAATACATAATACATGTTCATAATCAATAAAAAGCATTGAAATATTCTCCTATAGGTTTCTTAAATATGTTGATAACTTACTTTTCCAAAGTTTATTAATTGTGCAATTGTGGATTGATTGACTAGTGGAAAATATAAATCCTTTCCTATAGGTTTCTTAAATATGTTGATAACTTACTTTTCCAAAGTTTATTAATTGTGCAATTGTGGATTGATTGACTAGTGGAAAATATAAATCCTTTATTTCCCATGTTACTCATTATTTGAATCCACCTTGTCCTCAAGGGCTCTTCATTCAATTTAATACTGCTTTAATTTTGTTAAAAAATATTAATAATCTTAAGTATGATTTTGACTAGCAGGTTGGTTCTTAGCCTTGCCACTTATACCTGAAAACTGCTCAAATAAGTTCTATAATGACTACGTTATTTGTTGAGAAAAGCAAAAGAAAAGTAGTTCTATTTTAGATGGAAAAGAGTACTTTGGATCTAGCATTGCTACCAATTTTTTCTTATCTGAAACATCCAAATGATCACGCTCCACTTTGGTTATTTGAGTATAAGATTGCAAATGCAAGGGCCAACAAGCTTTGAAGTTATAACTCTTGCGTTGGAATTGTTTGACCTAATATATATCAGATTGCTGCATAACATTTGACTGACTCGGAAGAATATAATAAAAAATTTGAAAATATACTAAAACTTAATAAGTTCTACTATTTAGTGATAATATAACTCCAATGTCACTAACAAACGAGTATTAAAGATACATCAACCATAACTGCAAAGTGCATATTACCTATAAAACGCACATACATCACATATAGGCACAATCTGACAGGTCAAAATACAGTTTTTACCTTCTTCAAACTTCAGACAGATAACAAAATAAACTTTGTAAAATATCACCTAGGCACCCGAGCATACCTCCTATCTGGGCTTCCATATGGAGCATAAGGTGACCTAGACCTATCCCTCCTATACCTTCCACCTCCACCACCATAGGGAGAGTGCCTTGGTGAATAATCCCTGCCACCTCGATATGGTGGGGAGTGCCTTGGAGATCGGCGATATGGATAATCATCACGACCATATCCACCCCGATACCTTCCACCACCACGATCATCACGATATCCTTGAGACCAACAAAAGATGAAGTTCAAATAAAATAAGCAATAAATTATGTTCAACATTTGGAAAAGTGTCTTAAACTTACCAATTTCTCTAGTGTTTTTCAGCCCAAGATAGTGCCCCGGTGTGGGAGTTCTTGGCCGCTTTCTCTTTGACTGAAATAAAATAGAGAAACTAAATCCTTAGAATTTTGTTGATATAAAACAATTATGCACCAATTGTCCATGTAACATTGAACATAAAACAGATTAAATAATCTCATATATCCATCGAGTCATAATAAATTGTAAAAAGCAAACACTTTCAAAAAATTTAGAAAGAGCTCTTTAAAAGAAAGTTTCATTAAGAAAAACAGTCTAGGAAAGTTTCATTAAGAAAAACATTCTAGGAAAGTTTCATTAAGAAAAACAGTCTAGGAAAGTTTCATTAAGAAAAAAGTCTAGTTTATATTTATAATATTGGTGAAAAAAAAGTTATATCCACACACTAATGAACAATGCCAGGTGTGAGATACCATAAAAGACTGATTAGAAAGTTGTTGATAATGTCCGTTGATTAGTTGAGAGTTGAAAGTGAATGCTGAAGTTGTAAAGTTGTTGAACATTATAGTTGTTGCTAATGTTAAGTTGATCAGAAGCATTTGATTAGCTGTTTAGGCTTTTGCCAATGATCATGTTGTTTCAATAAAGTTGAAATGGATGAACTGGTCATCTTTGATTGCTGCCAACATATCTGATGTAATGCATTCTGAACGTAAGCACAAAACCTTCCGGTCAAGAAGAAAGAAAAGCATAGGTGTTTTATCCACTAGTAGTTAATTAAAAAACACATTACCCGCTCAACAGTGATATAGCGACCCTCTAGAACAGATTGATTCAGATACTTGATACAGCGGTTGGCATCCTCAACAGAATCCATAGTAACAAACGCAAAACCACGAGATATACGCGTACGGGGCTCTACCACAAGAAAACACGAAGCAACCTAATCAAGTAAGCAACCCAAGACAGCTATTCAGAGATTAGAGTATCACTACCGAGGGAAACTCTAATGATTAACTCAGTGAAAAACGACAGAGAATCAATATGATACAGACCTTTCCTTCCTTAGAGAAATGCTCCTCTAGGTCTCTCTCAGTGACCCTTGAAGATAGGCCAGTCACATAAAGTGTATCCCCGCCATTCCTAACACAAGACAAAATCACAAAACCAAACTACATAAACAAATTTGTTTCTATCAGAAATACTAAAAAAAGTAGAGTTAGTATTCCAATCAAAGGATTGTAACCACGTGCAGGTAAAACTGACTAACCTATCAGCAGGACTTCTTGATCTAGATCTATCAGTGAATAAACAAAGAGAGAACATCAGAGAGGGGGAAATTATGCACGGTAGAAGGGATAAAATGCAAAAAACAATGATTGAATGCTAAACAATGACTAACCTGCCACGACCTCTGGATGGAGATCTAGGCCTTTGCATTTCCAGAGATCTTGACCGAGATCTAGGCCTCTGCTTTTCGAGAGACCTTGACGGAGATCTAGGCCTCTGCATTTCAAGAGGCCTTGACTGAGACCCAGGCCTTTGCATTTCAAGAGACCTTGATCTAGACCTAGGCCTTTGCATTTCAATAGACCTCGACCTAGGCCTTTGCATTTCAAGAGACCTCGACCGAGACCTAGGCCTGTGCCTCTCAAGTGACCTTGACAGAGACCTAGACCTAGATCTTGATTGACCCCTCCATGGGGAAGGGGACCTTGAAAGCCTGAAATATTATCATAACCAGATAAACAAATAGGTTCACAATGAAAATAGTCAACAGAGATAATCAAAATTAAAAAATTTTAAAAAAAACAGATCAAAATAATTAACATTAACCTAAAATCAAACAAATAATTTCTAATGTTTAATTCCATTTTGAGTTAGGGTTCCAATTCCGAACACATAAACGAAGATAATCGGATCAAAAAAGCATTTCATAATCATAATTTCCGTAATCAAAGAGAGTTCTAGGGTTACCTTCTTACTGGAGAATCTGCCTGCAAAATAATTGGGGAAAAACAAGAAATCGTTAAATAGTGTTCGTCAAGAATTAAAATGAGGTATAGATCGAGATAGAAAACAAACCATTTCCACGAGCGACGAACAACGACAGCGATGAGGAAAAAAGCAGCAGCGACGAGACAAAGAATTGAGGTTTTCTTTCACGTTTTGTTAGAGCGCACTTTTGTCTTGAGAGATGTAATGTAACATAAAATGAATGATTTAAAATTTGATATAAAAAATATAATAGAATAAAAAAAAAATAATTTTTAAATCTTAGTAAACATAAAAAATAAAAAACTATAACATAAAAAAAATAATAATAAGTGTGTCATATCTAAATTTTGAGTAATATTTATCAATTATCTGGTCATTCCAATAATTTAAAATGTCAAAGAGAAAACCATTTTAATTTTTTATCCTATATTGAAATTTTTTTAATTATATCTTAGTTATTATTTTTAGATATAACATATTAGGGTACGTTATTTAGTCCTTTGTTTCTCTACCAATTTTACTATCCGGTTGTTATTAAAAATTTATAGGAATTATATTATTATTAAATTAATATTTAGGCTCAATTTTAAAGAAAATTAATATTTTTATAGGGAGTATATAAATTTAGTTTAATTTAGTCTATTAAACTTAAATATTACCAAAATTAATTACTATTAAGTATTGTTAATAAAAAAAAATTTATGATGAAAGGGGAGTCGGTTTCATTATATTTTAGACTAAATTTTTAGATGTAAATAGTAATAGGTTATTAAGATTTTTATAATTATTATCTTGTTATTAAAATTGATTTATCATGGAATTAATTTTAGTTCAAAGATTAATTTTATTATTATTAGATTAATATTAAGGGGTGTTCTGCACTGGACCGACGCTTAGACCACCGCCAAGCAGGCCCAAACCCAACGAGGTTGGGCCCAGAAATATCACGCTGACGAGCAGGATCCCCGTCGAGCACAACATCTCCCCGATGGGCATAGACCAACAGCAATCGGGCAGGACCCTCGCATCGACCAACCAGCCTCCTTCTTCCCCATCGTCGGGCAGGACCCTCGTGTCCGACCAGTCACCTCTAGTTGACCAGGGAACTCCTTGGGCCTTCCCCCACGTTCTCCACGTGTCCCTCACGCAGGGACACGTCATAAGGTAACTACCCACGTCTTGGAGATTCGGTATTCCTCCTCCCGGATAGTGCGGAACAGTTACCCTAGGGCGAAGACCACGTGCTGGTCTTCACAGCGCCACGTCAGCCCTAGCAGTTACTAACATTGGGCCTAGCAACCCAGCCCAGTACTAGGTAATCGTTGGCCCTGCGCTGGGGGCTCACTATAAATACCCTCTTCATTAGAGGGTGAGGTAACTTAACTTCTTACCCTCTCTCTATGTGCTTGCTTCCACTCTGTCTGTCACTTACTTTGCCATCGGAATGTGTTTCAGGTACACCCCTCTCCTCTTCAATACTCACGGTGAGTAGCTAGCAGATCAACGACGTGTGGCAATTCATAGTTCCCCTTCTGATCAGGTGCGATCAGTGGCGTCGTGTGTGAGAAACTAAGCTTCATCTCTCAAAACTTCAGGATCATGATTAGCCCGTGCCATGACAACGATGTTCACAACTCCGCCCCTGTTCCCGTCACCAGCGGCGACGGCCAGGTGAGGACAGCTCAGCTTTGCGAGACCGACGTCAGGGACGGCCAGACTGCCTCCCCATCCTCCGAGGACGCACCGCACCATGTCGTTCCTCGGGCAAGGAGCTCGACAGTATTCTAGCCCATCCCCACTCCGGCTGGCGCGGACCCGACGATGGTCGCCCTCTTCGCGGCCATCAACCAGACGAACGAGATGTTATTCCGGCAGAACGAACGCATTGGCGCGCTAGAATACAACACCTCGTCCCGCCCCCCTCCGCGGGAAGATCAGCGCGGGAACTCTCGGAGCCCCTCTCCCCAACCACGAGGGCGTCGACCATAGTTGGAGAGGCCCTAACCCGTGGTCTCCAAGAAGTGAGCAAAGTCGCCGACCCAGAAGGATAGACACTCTCAAGAGCCGAGGACGGGGAGACCCGAGGCACCGGTCAAACAACCAAGGGTACAAAACCAACCTCCTCCTCGACACGGCCCCTCACCCCCTCAGTCCCCAATCCTCAGCGACGAGGATGACTACAGGACCCCGTTGTCCCGGGAGATCATGGCGGCTCCCATTCCCCACGGGATGGAGAAACCGCTTGTGCTCTCAACGTACGACGGCACCTCGGACCCGGACGACCATCTGGAGGACATCGAGGCTATGCTCGACTACCAGAACGTTCGAGGAGCCATTAAGTGCAGGCTTTTTTCGACGACCATGAGGAAAGGCGTTATGACGTGGTACAAAAGCCTGGAACCGGAGTCCGTCACGTCGTGGAGGGTCCTGAAGGACCTGTTTTTGTGACACTTCACGGCGTCCAGACGCCATCCGAAGACGGAGGCCGCGCTGGGCGTGATCATCCAAGCCCCCGATGATCCCCTCAGGAACTACATCGAGAGGTTTACGAGGGAGGCGCTCCAGGTAACAACTTCAGACGAGATGAAACGTTACCTGATGGAGTAGAGCCTATGCCGAGACTCCAAATTCTACGAGGTTGTGGCCATCCACCGGCCAGACTCCCTCTAAGACTTCCTCGACAGGGCTCGCCACTGTATACGGTTCGAGGAGACACAGACTGCCAACACCGCCTGCAACACGCGGAACAAAGAAGCCCCCCGGGGATCCCGAGAGGAAGGGACCTCAGGCCAACACCGCGGGGGGACCGACAACGGGAGGACCGCCCCGAGAACCCCGCGAGCAACGGGGCCCCGTCAACCATTTCACCGAATACACAGCACGAGTCGCTTCCCGCAAGCACATACTGGCTAAGTGCGCCAATTCCAAATTTGTCTAGGGAGGCGTCCGTTTTCCGAAACCGGCACCCGCCAAAGCCAACATGGATAAATCTAAATACTGTCGCTTCCACCGAAGCCACGGTCACGTGACAGAGGACTGCATCCACTTGAAGGATGCAATCGAAATTCTGATCAAAGATGGGCATCTGAAGAGGTACACTCGGGGAGGAGACCCTCCTCGATAGGAGGCCCCCGAGGCTAAAAAAGTCGAGGACTTCCCTCTTCCCCACGACGAATCAGGCCTACAGGTAGCCCTCACAGTTGGCTGACCAGAGGACCGGTTCGCCCTAAGAGAGTTCAACCTCCCCGTCGAACTTCAGTTATCCGAGGAGCCAATACGCCCCACCAGCCGGTGGGAATACTTCCTGAGAACAATGGTCATTTCCAGAGGGACCCTGAGCAAACTCTCAGTGGGATCAGTTAAGCAGAAGTTTGACGAGCTTATAAGCAACAGCTCCGGCAAGATGAGCACGCTTGACAAGTTCCGAGGTTGATCAAACCCGATCACCTTCTACCTCGAGGAGCTCCCCGGGGTGAGCCCCTAACTCGAACATTCCCCTTCTGATCTGGGCACAGATGGCCAACTTCGACGTCCGACGCATCCTGGTCAACTGGGGGAGCTCGGTGGACATCATGTACACCCATCTCTTCGCGACGCTCCAGCTCGACGAATCCAAGTTGTCCCCTTACCTAGGCTCCGATCTACAGGGCTTTAACGGGACGACGACGAGACTGTGGGAGTACATGGAGCTCAAGGTCACATTCGGGGAAAAGGAAACGGCCAGGGAAATCAACTCCCATTTTCTGGTTGTCGAATGCTCGTCTCTATACAACTGCATCCTGGGCAGGACAATGATGGTCGAACTTACTGCAGTATCGTCGACTGTCCACCTAAAGATGAAGTACTACACCAGGCTGGGAGCCGTCATCACCCTCAACGGGGATATCGAAGCTGCTCGTCGGTGCTTCGACGCAACAATGAAAGGTCTCAGTATAATCGGTCCCACGACCAAAACAACTAAGCCACCCCTCGTTCCGGAGGTTAAACCGAAGGATCACGTCGACACTGTGAACCTCAATTGTCGTTTCGCCGAAGAGCCCGACCACAAGGACAAAGCCAGCGACACCCCTCCTACCACCAATGGGCAGCCTTTCCACTCAACGCTCCTCATCCCAGACGGGGACTTCGAGATCGTGACCCTTGGGGAAAACACAACGAAGACCGTGAAGATTGGGGCGGGGTTGCCCGACCTGGCGAGGAAGCAGCTGAAGGCTTGCCTCCGTGAGAATGTTGATCTATTCGCCTGGAGCACCGTAGAGATTCCCCGGCTCGACCCTGAGGTCGCCTGCCACCAGCTTTCCGTCAACCCGGCCGCTAGGGCCGTAGTGCAACGTAGGCGTAGGCAGTCCCCCGAAAAGTCAGTGGCAGGTGAAAAGGCTATAAAAGTCCTCCTAGAGGCAAATTTCATTTCAGAAGTCCGGTATTTAACCTGACTGTCCAATGTTGTACTAGTTAAGAAAAATAATGGAAAATGGAGGATGTGTGTTGACTACACAGATCTTAACCGGGCATGTTCTAAGGAGGCCTACCCCCTTCATAACATCGACAAGCTCGTCGACAACTCAGCCGGCTTCAAACTACTGTCCTTCATAGACGTGTACTCGGGGTACAACCAGATACCCATGGCCGAGGCCGACAAGACTTTCATGACCGAATTGGGCAATTACTACTACAACGTAATGCCCTTCGGCCTAAAAAACACTGGCGCCGTCTACCAGCGGATGATGAACAAAGTCTTCCAAGGAGAAATTGGAGACGTGCTCGAGGTCTACATGGACGACATGACGTCAAGTCCTGCACGGAAGTCGACCATACAACACATCTCAGGAAAGTCTTCGAGACGACTAGGAAGTGCAGGATGTGTTTCAATCCGGAGAAGTGCACCTTCGGGGTGCGCGCGGGGAAGTTCCTCATATTCTATCTGACCGAGCGTAGGATCGAGGCAAACTCGGACAAGTGTCGGGCCTTCTTCGAGATCGCGACACCGAGCTCGAAGAAATCGATACAGTCCCTCAACGGGATGCTCGCGTCGCTTTCCCGCTTCGTCGCCAAATCCGCGCAGCACGCCCTCCCTTTCTTCAAATTACTAA